TAAATGTTACAAACAGACCATGAGAGAAACATTATTACCAAACAAACTGATTTCTACACAAGTTTCCTTACATAGCATGACAAATTCTTTTATGTACTTCCAACATCAAAAACACATAAACACACATAGACGACCTTAATATCTAACTAATATAATTTCCTAGAAACTGACTTAAGCTAACAGAATCAACACTCAGTCTGGGCACCTAAGTCTGTAAGACATTACACTTTAGTCTTCAGCTTTGTTACAATGCTATTTTATTTATTTGGTCCACACTTACTCTTTAGTGTGTTTTTCATTTATAAATACTGCTATTAGATTGGCTTGTCCACTTTTGGGAAACAGGCCATAATATGTCAAAGAAAAACACTAACTGGGGACTTTCATTCAACAGATGGCACCTGAGTCCTACAATAAACTATTTGTACAGAGTAGATATAAGGAAAAATCATCCTCAAGTTTTGTAATGAAATATTCTTGAGAGAAGAATCAAGCATTGTCCTCTGCTCAATACTGAGGCTGAGGAAGGCTAGAGAAATTATGCAAGCTCACATACCTAGAAATAACAAGTACGAATAAAAGTGTTCTATTTTCACAGCTGAACATGTAATTCTAAATGAAAAGACCCTGCCACATTCGATGCCAGTTTCCAGGATGCAAAAGCTAGAGTTATAAAAAATACACAAATAACTCACCAAGTAGATCAGCAGTGGTGAACCTACGGCATGCGTGTTAGATGCTAATGTGTGAGCTATTTTTTCCAAACTAAAACCTCAGTACTCTGGTTTAACTGCAGGGCGGGTGCTTCGTAAGTGAGTGGGTTTTGCACTGCAGTTTGGGGACCTGGTCTGTAAAATGTTCACCATCCCTGAACTACATCAAACACTCAGCCACTAGGCCTCACCTGCATGTGAGTAGGATACGAGCTACCAGGAGCCTGAGCAGAAGGTGCGGGTGGTGAAGCAGCAGTTGCAGGAGGCGGTGCTGGGGCTGCTTGTGGGGTGGGTGCTGCAGAGGAATCCAATGTGTAATTTTTAAAGGCCTCAATATCCTCGGGCCTAAAAAGACAAAGAATGCACAGATGTTAAGAGCTTAAAAAGCAAATTCAGCTATCACACATGTCTTCAAAAGTCTGTAATATCTGATTTCTCAATTATTTATTTATTTATTTTTGAGACAGGGTCCTGCTATATGGTTCAGACTGGTCTTTGAGCTCACTATGTGACACAGACTGGCCTTAAACTTGCAGTGATCCTCCTGCCTCAGCCTGCCAAATGCCAGGATTACAGCTGTGCCCCACCATACCTAACTCTCAAAATTCTTGATTAAAATATTCTGCTAAGCACTGAACTTCCACAAATAACAAAGTTTCTACTTACTTTCCAACTGTTATACAGATGACAGCTCCAACTGGAACATCTCTGGTACCTTCAGCAACAAGTATCTTTGCCATATAACACTCCTCTAGGCTCTCAAATCCAACTGTGGCTTTATCGGTTTCAACCTTTTAACACAAAGCAGTAGTGTAGGTTTGCATTGCCAGTGTAGTTTACTAGCATGCATCTAAAAATCATTCAGCTCTGCAGCCATGCAAAGATAAAAACACTATCATAGATTTGAAAGGAGTTCTTTAAAAAGCATCTTGGGTAAGAAGTCATTGGGCCAGCTGCCAACGACTGATCTAACAAATCATCTTAATATTAAATTGTGATATGTGTGTTTCTTAAGCAAGGAGAATAGCCATTCAGAAAGCCTATTCTGTTCAGCAAAACCAACTCTGCGAATGCACCACATGTTAAAACTTACCTCTGCAATGAGATCGCCCTCGTTGATTTTTTCCCCTTCTTTTTTTTCCCATCGGGCTATGGTGCCGGCCTGCATTGTGGGGGAAAGAGAAGGTAACGGGACCTGGAAGACAAAAGGAAAAAGCACTACGTTTATTTAAAAGGTCTACTTAACTCCGTCTGCTTTAAAGTTTCATTCAGTTCAATTCGATGCAGTTCACCGGGTCCCCTTCCACACTAGGCATGGGGAAGGCAAAGAGGGCCGCCGCTCTGCAGATCAGGGGCAGGCTTCCTCCTGCACGGCGCTGCGGGTGTGACCAAGTGCCCGCCGCTCTGCAGATCAGGGGCAGGTTCCCCCTCCACAGTGCTGCGGGCGTGACCAAGTGCCCGCCGCTCTGCAGATCAGGGGCAGGCTTCCTCCTGCACGGCGCTGCGGGTGTGACCAAGTGCCCGCCGCTCTACAGATCAGGGGCAGGCCTCCTCCTGCACGGCGCTGCGGGCGTGACCAAGTGCGAACCTCAGCAGACGCCCTGCACACAGCCGCAGCCTGGAGCTCTTCTTTCAATGGAATCGATGACAAGCGGAAAGGAAGCTCATCAAGTGCAGCAAAGCTAGGCACTGGGCACGGACGATGGCACGCACTGGAAGGAGCTGGAAGATCACCGAGACCTCTGAGGAGGACTCCCAAGGCCAAGAAGCCGGCCCTGAAGGACATCGGGGTCCCGGGGTGGAGGGCTCACCTTCTGATGAGGAGGCAGACTGTAACAGCGGCGGCCCGGGGATCCCAAAAGCCGCAGCAGTAAGCGGCTCCGTGGGGTGGCGCCGGAGCTGGGGCTCCAGCCGCCCAGAGCCCGGACCCCGCCATAGCCCGGGGTCGTTGTGCTGCAGGACCGAACCGGCGCGCGGCCGGACCGCAGGCTCCCGCGGGGGGCTCCGGGCCCCCCTCGCAAGGCTGTCCACCGCGCCCCGAGTCCTGACCCCGGGGCGGCCCTATGGGCCCGTCGGACACAAACGCGCCACATAGTGCCACTGAGTCCCACTCCCCTAAACCTCCACCGTTTCCAGGGTGACCTCTCCAGGAGCAGCGCGGCTCTGCCGTCAGCCACTCCGCGCAGCCGCACGTTGTCGTAAAAGCGGCGCCGAGCGCGGGCGCCGCCCCTCCGCGGGCCGGAGCGCGCGGCCTCTACGGCTGCCTCTGCCCGCAGCCGGGTCGCCGAGCTGGGCCCTCGTAGGTGCCCGGGGGAAGGGCATCGCAGCGGAGCCCGCCCGGGCTCCAGGTTAGGCGAAGGAGGCAGGGAGAGGGTGCAGGGTGGGCCTAGAAGAGGCGGCCTAAGGTTGGCACGGCGCCCAAGAGCCGCGGCCGAAAGGCGGAGAGCGCGGGGACAGGCGATATGGCAGCGGGGCTGGGCCGCTGGGAGCCGCCCTGTTAGGAGAAAAGCTGGGAAACGAGCCCGGAGGCCGACGGACGGAACACTGGGAGCCGTCGGCCTAGGGCGGGGTCCTCTTGGCGCTGCGCCCCCGGAAAGAGCAGCAGAGATCTGCGGGGCGGTCGCGCTCGGGTGGGGCGCGCCCGGCTTCGGCCTCCCACCGCGCGAGCTGGCCAGGGACACAGAGGTTCATTTCAGGTGTGCAGCTCCAACGGGAACCGGAGTAACAGGTTTTCAGGAGGACTGTGAAGGGCAGCCAAGAGAAAGGTGCATTCCCACATCGAGATGTCCCAGAGGAGGATTAAACCTATTGTGCGTATTAAGATACAAGTTTGCAAGTCGCACGCTTACCCTCCCCCCAGTTCCCCTAGAATTCCTTTAAATAGCCAGTTATTAAAAGATGTAACAGGATCACGAGAAATATATGGTTATACAACTTTGGTGTGACCGTCATGCATGTATGTACTTACACAAACTTAAGGTGGATAGATGTCAGGTGTCACTAGGTCATATAATCTTGTGGAACCATATTTTACATTTGGTAGGTCATCAAAGCATGCGGGTCATGACTTTTTTGTTTGTTTGTTTTAAATGTGACACAGGGTCTTCCCATGTAGTTGGAGCTGGTTTTAAGCTCACTAAGGGGGCCGGGGAGATAGCTTGGTTTAAGCACCTGCCTGGGAACAGCAAGGACTCGGTTCGATCTCTGGTACCACATGCTGTGCGGGCCATTGAAACTGGGTGTGGTGGTGCGTGCCTGTTATCCCAGCCCTTGAAAGGCTGAGACAGGAGGATTACATGAGTCCAGGCTGTGTTGTGAACCCTGTACAAAAAAAAAAAAAAACTATCCACTTTGCTTGGAACTTCTAGCAACCCTGTTGCCTGAGCCTTCCAAGTGCTGGAATTACTGGTGTGTACCACCACGCCTGGCTAGCAAATATTATTTGTGAGCTGACGGTGACGTTGAATTAGGAAGCATATGCTGTTTTTATATTGTCAAGCCTCCAGTGTACAGATGGTCAGAGCACACCAAGAACAGAACAAAAAACTTAGAAGTGGGGAGACTCTGACATTTGAAAATATATTCAACCTTGCTAATAATTAACTTGGAAAATTAAAGCAGCCAGGAGATACTAGTTCCTGTCTAACAAAATAGGAAATTTTCAGGCAGGCACCACTGCCTAGCAAAATAGACAGTATAATTGAGAAATAGATAACGTCCAAATTAAATGAAAAAAGTACCTTTGAAGTAAAGAGTAGCAATTAGGTTAGGTCTTTACATATGTGTTACAATTGGGAGAAGCAATGAAATAATTGTGCTTAGTGAAAAGGCTTACACTGTAACTTTCGTAAGTGATCATAAAAATATTTTAACTACTTTGAATTAACTGAAATCTTAACACAGTACTTCCACTGCACTTGAATTGAACAATTGCATCTAAATTAGCCTGTTCGAAATTATGAGGGGATCTGTAGTTCTGCTGTTCCCTCCGGTAGGCTTGCTTAAACCTTGTTTGGAATTTTTCAAATAGTTTGCATTTTGAATGTACTTTTGACTTAGCTGTAGCTAAACTATAAGGCACGTCCCAAATAGTTCATGTGTGGCAAGCTGACCCTAGAGGTAGGCTAGAATTCTTAGGAGAACAAGCTATAAAGTTTCCTAAATAAGCTGGGTAAAGAAAGAAAAGGAAAAGCGGGACTTAAGACACAAAAGCTTAAAGTAGAAGGACGATATCACTGATACAAAGCAGGTAGATACGAAGAGGAATGAGCGGGTACTGAAAGGTTTTGAATTGAGTTTTATGCATATTTAAACATAAATAGTGGAAGACTGGCCAAATAGCAGATTAAAGCACCTGCAAGCAGGAGCAGGGGTTAGGGGTTGGATCCAGGGCCTGCCATGCTGGCCACACCCCTGGGGCACGATGAGGTGGCAGTTGAGACTGGGTGTAGTGGCTCCAATGTCTGTAATCCCAGCACTTGGGAGGCTATAAACAGGAGAATCACTACGAGTCTGATCTAGTAGTGATCTAGTAGTGAGATCCTGAACACCCTGTAGATTTGGAGAGGCAATTTGCAAGTCGATTTGGGAATTGTGATTCTTTTAAATACACATTTTTGGCCTGTGGTGATGGCCCATGCCTGTCTGTAGTCTCCGTGACCTGGGAAGCTGAGGCACAAGGATCCTTTGAGGCCATGAATTCAGACCAGACTGAGCAATATAGTGAGATCTAATCTAAGAAATAAGTACATAAATAGTAAAAACACACTGTGACTGCCGGGTGTAACCTGGCGGGACAGCTCTGCTCGGCATGCCTCGAGCCATAGCGACGTGCACATGCACACACATCTGAGATGCTCGATGTTTGCGTTTACACGCCTGCCATATACTTTACACTCTCAGGTTCTTGTTTGCACAGTAGTATATAACGTCAAAAAAATGCAACATTTGTTAATCCTCTTTGCTAACAATAACTTATTTCGTGCTTACACTAGAAATACCAATAGTAATATATGTATAGCAATAAAGTAGCCCCAGCTGCACTCTCCAGACAGTAAGTAAACACGCTACCAAGGAGATCACTTGAGGAAATTTACCTTCACTGAATATAAATGAAGGTTAACCAATTAACTTATTGGTTAATCTCAGTCAATAAACACAATGATTAATGGGATTTAGTTTGCAAAGTCCCTTTTATTCATAATTTGTGGGGTTTTTTTAAATTCACAAATCCAGGACATACAGGCAGTTAAAACTGGTTATCACTTTAATAATCAAAAGCCTCTGGTATAACAGTCATCATGAAAACACTGTAAAACAATACACAATAGTAATCTCTTTGAAAGCAATGGTTGCAAACATCCATGTTTCTAAGAAAATATAACTTTACATATATATGTATTTTAAGCAAGCTTTACCTCTTACATAAATTCAGATAACAGAAGTGTGCAATCATAATCTTTATGGGGAGAAATGAAAATAATTTTAATGATGACCTAAATGCTTTTAAATAATCAGAGTTCTCTTAGATAAGATGTAGAATATAAAGGATATTTTCCCCTAATTTACACCAGGGCAGAAAGAGATGAAAAATGGTAAGTAGGATTGCCATTACCAAGTGTATTTAACCCAAGTCTTTAGGGACAAATTAGACAGTATCCTAATCCCAGATAATTTAGAGAATTGAGCAATAGGGTTGAGGATAGAGCTCAGGGGTACAGCGCCTGCCTGGCAAGCGTGAGGTCCTGAGTTTAATTCCTGGTAGAAAAAAAAGTTGAGCAAGGAGAGAAGAGTCTTTAAAGTCAATGAATTAAGCTCTCAACTAAACTAGTGTTTATGAGAAATCATTTGCTTTTAACCTAACAATTAGAGATTATTTTATGAACCCTAAATAGTCTAATACTTTAGATTTCCAAAGGGAAAAAATACTGTAGAAGTAGCAGGGTCAAGGTCTCACCTGAGTGCCCCTGGGGGATAATATTATGAATAAAGCTCAGGTCTGTGAGAGTGCATCCAAGTAGGAGACCTCAGGAGGGAGGGAACCAATGCCTACTCCTGCTGAGGAAGCTCCATTTAGAAATTGGAGTGAGGATCACCCGCCGAACTTACACAAAAGTTACTTCAGTGACATTTAGTAAGGGCGATTAGCCAGTGCCTGTGGTACATGAAATTAATGAACTAAAGGGGAAAAATTAACCTCCGAATTAACTTCTGCCTCTTATAGAGGTATGCTGGCAGCGCCTTGTCAAAAATGAATGAGATAAAACACAAGAGGACACTGAAAATTTTCTGATTTAATACTCTCTGAAATGATAAATTTTACATAATGGTAAGACTGTTCACTCAAAACTGAAGTGTAACTGATTTAAGAGAGACATTCAAGAAAAATTTTACAGGACTATAATAACAAATTTTAACCTGATAACCCTCATGCTGTTGTATAGCAAAACACTAAAATTCATGCAACATAGAAATTGGTGACATAGAGAATTTTTCTCCAGACTTCTTGGGGAAAAAAAATTCATTGTTTTCTTCTATTTTCTTTCATAATGTATTATTCTTGCTTATGGCTGACTTTCCCAAATTTTCCCAGCTTTTTCTGATGAAAATCATTCTTCAGTAGAAGACCAATTAAACTTAACATGAAAAAATCCGGTGTCTTGAACCCCTTCTGTCCACTTGAAGAGCAGTCAACTGGATTACATAAAACTACCCCCTCAACTAAGATAGCAGGTAGAATTGGACAGAAAGTAGTTGGCCTTAGTATACTCATAATAAAATAAAGCTTGTTCTGAAGCCACCAGAAGCGTAAGACACTGTATAAAAGCTACTGGGTTCCCTAGAAAGTGGACACAGTATAGAGAATATGAGCATCTACAGAACTCACACTTGAGTTATAAAAATAGAGATGGTTCTCAGACAAAAAGAAAATGAGTATAAAAGAATTCTGCAAACATGAACTATTTTTAAAAAGACATGTCCATATAAAACAATAAGATGTTATCTCAGTTCCAAAGAGTAGTCTGTTCAGGTGTCTGAAGAGGGGAGATGAACTGAAGGCAGGCAAGAGCCCACACTGATCTGTCCTCTCTCCTGTTTGGCAGTGTACGTTGGTGGTCACAGACTGCTTTTGGGAACACACATATATACAATGGCTGATCAGTTGGTAGTGCTGGGTGGATGAAGGAGAAAACCCAGATTATGAAGGAATCTCTGGAATAGCTTCTCTACACTGATGGTGTTGCCCACGAGAAATGATTCTAGATGTCTTTACCCTGAATCAACCCTGCCATTCACGACTCATGCTCCATGCCCCATGGTTTCTATTGTGCCCTAAAACATCAGCCTAGACTACACATGTAATAGAAAATAACTCTAATCTTAAAATGAGGAACAGACAAGTAATTCATGCCCAGTACTCATAAATTACAAAGAAACACTAGAGGCAATGGTCTGCCTCCCTTAAACTGCAAAGGCGATACCATGAGTTAAAGAAAGTCATAAGAAAAGTCAAGAAGATATGGGTAGCAGCACCTTTCCATACCCGCCTTGATTTTTAAGGAGCTTTTCACTCCTAATTCCTTTCAAGCACAAAGGTCATCAGTTTGAAGAAAAATAAATGGCTCTAATATTAAAGAGTCCCAGAGAAAACTACTAGTACAGGAAATATGCCTCAAGTGGGCTAAACAACAAGCTGCAGAATCAGTTAAGAACAGAAGTGGCCCAAGGTCTTACAGTTTCAACACAATACAGTACAATATGGGCAGCCCTTTTTCCATCCAATCGACTGTTCAGCACCATCCATGTCCAGTTCAAAAGATTATTAAAGAGGAGCTTTCGTCTTTGGTACCACTTCATGAATTGTTCTTAGCTTGCAGTATCTGCAAAGAAGCAGAAAAGCTGGTACCTTTGCCTTGTCTGTGAGTACGAATGCTGGGACTCTGACTGGTGCAACCATTGAGGCCAATTAAATTAATACTGTAGCACATCCAATCCAGATAATAGCAGCCATGGAGCAGGATCATCCATCCCCATTGGTTAAGGCCTTCGGTTTGTTGTCCTCAGAGTGGAACAAAACACCATTCCCACGGACAAGGAATTCCAGATGAATCCAAGGTCTACGTTTCGATAGGGATTTGAAGTACCAGATACGCCAGGCACAGAAACAGGACTGGCCTGTGACCTTCACGCTTGAAGCTTTGCTATCTTGGCAGCACAAATTCGAAACTTCTTGGCGTACTCTGGTTTTAGTCCCCTTTCCTGAGTGAAGCAGCCAGCAAGCAACCTTATTGCAGTCCTCAGGGCTAATTCTCTCCATGGTCTTCTTCCACCCAGGCTACAATTTTCCCTTCCCATCCAGGAATGGCATCATCGTCATGGAAAACCTGGGTAAGCAAAGAAACAAGAAAGTCGGGGATGAAGCTCAGCAGCACAAGCGCCTGCCTGGCAAGCGCAAGGTCCTGAGTTCCATTCCCAGTGCCAAAAATAGAAAAAAAGCCACAGTGAAAAAACAGTAATGAAGGCAGGAAGTTTCTCTAAACAACTGCTGCTAATAAGGCCTCAGCAGCAGTGCAGGGGCCAGGGAGATGGCTCAGTGGAATAAGCACGTCCCTGGCAAGCGCAAGGGCCTGAGTTCTATCCCCGGTTCCGCAAAAAAAAAAAAAAAAAAAAAAAAAGGAAAGAACAGCAGTGCAATTTGTCGTAGCTAAATCTTGGAAACAACCCAAGTGCCCATCAATTGAGGAATGATAAAAAAGATGTGGTATTTTTACACAATGGAGTATTACTCAGCTATAAAAAAGATAAACTTGAGGCTTTTATAGGTACATAAGTGGAGCTAGAAACTGTTTTGGTAAGTGAAATAAATCAGATGTGCATGTGCAAACATTATATGGGCTTGCTAGTGTGAGAAGCTGAAAGACTAAATAAAATCTAAAAGGTACAATAAAAGGGAAAGAATCTGTTCAAAGGGAAGGAAAAACTGGGATGAGGAAAAGGACAAAAGAAAGAAGGAGAAAGGATATATTCATGTATACATGCAGGATAGTTTGAATAATTGTACTGCTGAGTTCTGCTGGTCTATTGAAATGAGCAATTAATGCTTAAATTTAAAAAAATTTTTTTTCTTTTTCATTTAACTCTTTTTTTTTCTCTTATTAATTTTGCAGGTTTATGTCTGGTAACTCAAACAACTCATTTGACTTTTTTTTTTTTTTTTTTTTTTGCAGAACCGGGGATTGAACTCAGGCCCTTGTGCTTGCCAGGGAAGCGCTTATTCTACTGAGCCATCTCCCCTGCCCCTACTTTGGATTTCTTATGAGAAAGCAGTAGTACACACATGTTTAAAATGAGAAGAAAGCAGTACTATGCACTTTTAAAAATGAAAAGGCACTAGGCACAGCCATGCACCCCTGTAGCCCTAGCACTCGGGGGCTGCTGCAGTAGGATCACAAGTTCGAGCCCCTACCCGGTCAACTTAGACTTTGTCTCAAAAATTTAAAAAATAGCCACATGTGGTGGCACACTCCTGTAATCCCGGCATGAAGGAGGCTGATGCAGGAAGATCATTCTGAGATCCAGACCAGCTGTGGGCTACAGAGTGAGTTCATGACCAGGCTGAGACTCTGTCTCAAAAAGGAAAGAAAAAGTGAACTAGATCAGACCCACATGTGTAAATGATGTATTGCTTCACTAGTGTGAAAAACTGAATGAGTCAATAAGACCCAAAATGCACAATAGGTATTATGAGTTGGGAGGAAACTGTTCAAAAGAAAAGACAAACTGTGATGGGGGAAGGGAAAAGGAAGAAAAGGAAAAAAGAAAAAAATTTATACACAAGATAGTTAAGATGGTAATACAACTAGTTTCTCTAATTTCTCTTGGACAAGGTATCATGCCTATATCTTGTACTCTGAATAACTAGTATGAATACAGCAGTACACAATGTATTAATTATTATAACTTTTCTGTTTTGAAACTGATATATTTTTATTTTTTCTCTTTTTAAAATAATTTTTAAAATAAATAATAGAATAATTTAAAAATTGCATTGTTATTTGGGCTGGGGATATAGTTCAGTGCAGAGGTGCTGGGTTCAATCCCTAGTAGTGAATAATAATAATAATAATAATAATACATAAAAAATAGAAAAAAGTTTGGTTCCTGGTACTGTCAAGGAAGGATTCAAAAGAAGACCAAATGTAGTTCTTTTCATTCATTCCTTTACTGCACCATTAATACAACAGGGTTATTAAAACACTAGATTTTCTTTGTTTCACCTTATAACCATAATGAAGGCTAATATATACAATAATACATCAGAACACAGAACTCTCTTCCAGAATTTTTTAAAAAATCTGTTATTTAGCAAATGGATTACACAAGAAGCATAGGCAAGAAAATACACAAGGAGTTGGATAAGCATACATGACTACCCATTGTTTTCATTGTGAGAATTTATCACCACATCATGAAACACACAGTTCCAGGTGTTTATGCCTGTTTGATTGCTTGCTCTATGTAGGAAGAAGCTGGGACTGGGAGATAGGTCAGTGGCATATGTGCCTGCCTGACAAGTGTGAGGTCCTGAGTTCAATCCCCAGTACTGTAAAAAAAAAAAAAAAAGAAAAAAGAAAAAAAGAAAGAAAGAAAGGTTTTCTATGACTTGGCTACTGATTTTAAGTTTCTTTATTTTATTGTCTTAAGTTTTTTTTATTGTCCCTAACAACAACAAGAAAAAAAAAAACTATTTCCTAGCTAAAAAATTCTGTCCAAATTCTTAGTCAAAATAATTAAGTCCTAGAATGGAAGAAGCTGTCAACATGTGGGGCCACTTCTTAGTCTAATCAGACCATACTCAGGAGCTCCAGCAGACTCCTCTGCCCTGATTAGGGAACTCAATCACTTTGGGGCATTAGTCCTGGAATAGAAGACTTTGGGGGTTTAGGAATGAGCGACAGCTTCACCCAGACCCCCTCTCGTACCTCCTCTTTGACAGTGCCAAACTCTGGATCCAGGGCTTTGAAGTGATACCGATGATTCCCTTCCCGATCGATAGCTGCTTTAAAATCCTTCAATGTCACCTCCCCCAACCTGCCACAAAAAACAAATAATACCAAAATAGATTGTCAATCAATGGGTTGGAAAGACAGGGTATCAGCTTTAAGCCCAGGCCCCTGCCAAAGTCAACAGGTAGAAATAGCATGACTTTATGAGGTCCCTGATGCTAATAATGCAGATAAAACTAAAATTGCAGTTTGGAAAACCAGTCACCGCTAGGAAATGAAGATGGCATTATATATTGGGTGATCTGAGATTTATTTATTTAATTATTTATTTAATCATTTATTGAGACAGGGTCTCCAACAACTCACTATGGAACTTAGGCTGGCCTCAAATTTGCTTTGATCCACCTGCCTCAGCCTCCCAAATCCCGGGATTACAGGTGAGCGCCACCACGCCCAGTGAAACCATTTCCCTCAAAAAAAAAACAAAAAAAAACCTGCATTAACAGTTTGGAATAAAATTTTCAAACATAAATTCTCAGTAGGGGACTTTCATAGTCACCAAACAGGAACAAAGGTCAATGAGCCTGAGAATCCAAACTGCAATTCATGGCCATCTGCAGAAGCTATTTTGAACCCTATTTAAAAAATGTTCAAAATGGTTTTTCCAAACTTGGAGTGTATTTGCTTAGTTACCAGGTTGGAAGTACTATTACGGCTTCCATACTTGGCTGCTTCTGTCCTTAGGTCATTAAGAATGCCTCTGGTTAGTGGCAAAGCGGAAGCCAGAATCTCTATTTCCTCTTTTCTCACTTTACATACTGCTTTTCAAATATTTCTCAGCTCTTTGTTTGGGCAGGAGATGTTATGCCCTTTTTTCCTTATTGCAAAGAAGTAACGATCCCAGCATCTCACCTCTTTGGTATGTTGACCATGAAGGGCGTAAGTGACCGGTCAGTGAAGTAGAGCACTTTAGTGCAGGTGCTGCTGACTGCTGGAGAACTCTGTGAGTGAGGCAATTCTGCAATCAGAGAGTGTCCATGGTTAGCACACTGGATTTGCATCACACCACTCCTCATTCCAATTATTCAGAAATGTCTCAGGAGAATGGAGCCACCTGAGCTTGCAACAGCGAACACCATGTCCACAGGGCATGATCCCTGGAACCGCATGGACAAGAGGTGCTTCAGGCATGGACATTACCAGAAGGACCGTGATTTCTCACTCATTCCAGATATTTCTATAAAGAAACAGCAGCTGATCTGATCTGTAATGTGGCTGAAGATCAAAAGAGGACTGACAAGCTTGGCAAGGTGTCAGCTGGGGTACAGCAGACACACAGCAGGACCTACCTTTCTGTCTGCATTTAGATTTCAGGGTTGGTGGTAGAGGATACTCTTGTGATTCATGAAAAGAGAAAACAGAACAGAAACCACAGGGGCACAGGAACTTTAGAAATTCCGATGCCTGGGAGAGGGGGTCAATCTTTCTAGTCTACAAAACACAAGAGCTACCTTCACTCTGAGCTGCACTGCATTCATGTTTTGGCCCTGTCACGTTCTTAACTTACCACAGTGCCTAATTTGTCTGCCTCCTTTAAAAAAGTACTTTAGTAAAAGTGTAATTAATTAATGAGTACTTCTAAGTAAGAGAACAGAAAAGACCAAACACAAACTTTATCGTAAGTACCAAAAACCAATAATTCAGCTTTTATTAAAATCTCTCCTGCGGGTCACTATGAGTCTGAGCTGTGTAGTGACACCCTGTACCAAATATATTAAAACAATAATAATAATTAAGAAAATAAAATTTCTCAGGCCTGGGAGACAGCTCGGTTGAATAAGCACCTGCCTGGTAAGCACAGGGTCCTGAGTTCAATCCCTGGTGCCACAAAAAAATAAATAAATAAATAAATAAAATTTCTCCTGCAATTCCATCTACGTACATTTTATACTTAACTTCTAGGTTCGGATTTCCCACCAAATTGGCAGGCAGGAGGACAGCACTTCTGGGAGAAGGTGTAAAATAAGGAAGAGAATGAGGGACAGACCTGGGAGAAAGACAAGCCAACCATTTCTCCTTCACACAGCAAGTACATTCGGTCAGTTTCAGTTTTTCTTCCAAAGAATGTCAGTTATCATAACATACGTGCTATGCTATTCCAGTGCCCTAGCACATATCATAGTGCCTGACACTTAGAGGTTGTTGAATAAATCAAATGCCCACTTTTTACATTAAATCATATAACTGATTAATTTAATAAGTAGTAACTAGCATCTTCTCCATGCTGCTAGATTTTGCAAATTTAAAAACAACTATAGCCAGGTGTGGTGATGCACACCCATAATCCCAGCACTCAGGAGGCTGAGACAGGAGGATCACTGCAAGTTCAAGACCAGCCTGGGCTGCAAAGTGAGCTTAAGGCCAGCCTGAACTGCAGAGCAAGACCCTGTCTCAGGGGGCCTGCCCCGTAGCTCAGTTCCTTAAGTGGCTGCTTCAACAAAGCAGTCAGGCTCAGGTTGCTTGGGTTCGATCCCCACAACACAAGACAGCCAGTCATGCCTTGAAGGCATTCGGCGACCCTGTCTCAAAAAGACAAAAATAAAACCTATATGTGGTCTCTTATCTCTAAGAGTTTATAATCCCACATGGACGTAGGCAGTATTGCAAATAATAACACATTAAAATCAGATTTGTATACTTAATGGGAAGATTGAAGATGGAAAGGCTAATTCCAACTGGAAGAGATTAAAAAGGCCCCACCGGCAGAAAACTGTCTTAGAATGCTTTAAAAATCCTTTTTTTTTTTGTTTTTTTTCTTTTTTCTTTTTTCCTTTTTTCCTTTTTTGGCACTAGGAATCGAACTCAAGGGCCAGCCAAATAGCTGAGCGGATTAAAGCACCTGCAAGCAGGCACAGGGGCTGGGGGCTCGATCCTCGGGCCTGCTGTGCCAGCCCCGCCCCCAGGGTGCGCTGAGACAGCAATTGAGACTGAGCATGGTGGCGCGCACCTGTAATCCCAGCTCTTGGGAGGCTGTAAACAGGCGGATCA